AACCAACATCACAGCCCCACACTAGCTACTGTGAAGAAAATCAACTCTATCCCAGCCAAAACCAGCACAGTGCTGTAATACTGACCAGAATTTCTTTCTCCCGGCAATCCTTAGACACTCGCTGCCTGATGCAGAAATACATATCCAGCAGAGGCAGAGAGATGGCAACACTTCTTCCCACACACTCTTGTAAAATAGGTATGGTGGGTTTTGCTACTTCCCTGGCCTGTTTCTCAGCATCCCTCACTCCGTGTCGCAGTGTGCCAGCTTCTCAAGCAGGTAGACAGGAAAGTCCTTCACTCTACAGTGCACGGGGGCAGCGGGCACTGGGGCGAGCTGCTCCGCGGAGTTACGATGCTGTAGTGCTATTGAGTTCCCCACAGACAGTCACCCACTCAAGGAGCCTCATCTCTTTGCATGGACAAGTTAGCAGGAGCAGTAGGCCATCTTCACTGTTCAAAGAGCAGCAGCGGGTGTTTCTGCACCCACTTAAGGCATGGAAGAAATATAAGGCAATTCCAAGGTACAGAGAACTAACAGGGAGGGCTTTCTCCTGAACAGTGTTTTACATGACAGCAGGTCTGGGTGTGCTTCATTTAAGAGTCTGCGGATTCAATGTTGGTCTTCTTAGGTTTTGGCCAAGGACGTTTGGGAGCATCTTACCCCAGATGCAGGTTATAGCAGCTACAGTGATGCAGAACTTCCTTTATTACGTGTATTGACCTGCCTGGATCAGAGTTTCCAGTGCTAGTTGTTCACCATAAATCCAACTGTAGTAGTGCCGCTCCTCATTTCCATGTGAGTCACTTCCAGCTCAGTCAGACATCTCAGCTGTTTGCAGGAGACTTTTTAGATCTTCAAAGGGGGCAAAAATAGCTTTAATTTATTTCTCTTTTGCTAAGCAGCCCTTAAATCTACTTGCATTCATTCCTCAATTTAGACTTTCTCCCTGTGCAGTGCAACCCAGGGGATGAGTATGAGCCCTGTTTGTCCCCCTTCTTTGCATGTGCATGTGCATCTCCTGTAAAACTGCTTGCTCCAGTTCCTAAATTGCTACAGCCCCTTCCTTACACTGCAAAATGGCCAGAGAGCAGGATGAGGTCCCCACAGCTAGGGCAGGTACCACAGGAGTCTGTTCAAGACTTGCGAAACGGGATAGAGACCTTAAGGGTGAAAGAAAGAGCAAGAGGACACATTACAGAGTGGAGTTCCAAGGAAAAGGGTAGAAACAACTGAGAGCGCATTGTATCTTCAAGATTAAGGTAGCTTAATTGGTATAAACACAGTTTAGTTACAGAAATACCTTTCCAAGAGAAAGGGGCACACTCAAACCTACAACTTCAATTTTAGACAGACTTTTGGAAGGCCTGATTCTTTATCTGGCCAAATTCACTCTCTTATCAGTGACAGCCCATTAACAAGTAGCCCTGGAAATGCTGCCTTTCAGGGAGGGGAGGCAGAGACCCTTTTGTGCATGGGTGGAGCGGACAGCCGGGCTGTTAGCGGGACACAAACAATATCTACAGGAAAATGGGAAGTTCCTTGGAAGTGCTTAATGTAGCCAGCTGGAACCGCGAGCGGAAGCCTGGGTGGTTGTACTCACCCTTCACAACCGCCAAGCCATTCTCCCTGTGTAACAGCAGGGATCCCATCCCCAGCTGGTTGTTCATCGTGCTGCTCAGGGAAGATGCTCTTAGGTTTACCAAACCTCTTAAGCCCCAGTAGCCTGTGGGTTCCCCAGTCCTGGGCACTCTCTGTGGGAGCAGCAGTCCCTATGGCTAAAACTCCACCTTTTCCACAGCGGGAGGGCTGACCTCACTTGCCCACGGTTAGCACAGCCTGGCCATGCCTTTGCAGAGGCCAGCCCCACATGGGGCACTGGTGGGCTCCGGCTCTCGGGATTTTGGCAGCACTTGGCCGAGGATGGCTGTTCAGGAGAGAGATGGGCCAGAAAGGCCCTGACTCATCCCGTGCTGGGAAGCCGGGAGGGAGCTGGGGATCGCTGCCCAGTTGGGGGCTGCTCCTGGGGCAGAGCCAGCTGGGTAGGAAGGAGCCTGGCAGGCACCTGCCTTGCCCTCCCAAGCGTGCAGCTCCAGCCGTCCGCACCTCGCCCCAGCTCTGCTCGGGCATCCTTCACGCTCATGGGCAGGATTTGGTTTTGGTGCTTCTGGTTATCATCAATGAAAAATCAAAATGTGGGTCCTGTGCAAAGGTACGGCTCAAAGCCTGTTGCAGGGAGTAGAGCGCACTACATTCTTTTACACACGTTTATTACTGCACCCAATGTACCTTAAATTTTAAAAAGTGATGTGAAAAAGTATTCACATGAGAATGCCCTTAGGAACCAGCAAAATCATGATCTATGAAGCACCATTAGTAAATACATAAGTAATGATCATCAGTAACAACATCAGTAATAACAGCTGTACCATCCTGTTGGTTATAAATGAACAATGACAGTGCTGGACTGTAAGAAGCTCCAGGCTAAGTCTATCGTAGTGCATAAATGGAGTCCTTGCAAGCTGTTTAATCATTTTAGAAACCTGGTCTGTGACTGGTCTAAATAGCCTGTCTGGTCTGAATATCCTTGTTGATACTCAGTTTCATTTCTCCACTTGGTTTTACGTTTATTACAAGTCAGAAACCTTTGCTTATGAGTTGCAGTGTTTTTCTCTCTCCCCTCCCCCCCCGCCCCTTGCTTTCTTAACCCATCACCCCTCTAATAACTCCTGGCTGTCAATTGTGCTGAAGACAGCAGTAATACTTGTCTAGGTGGAGTTTCAGAGTCATGAGGGAAGGTCTGGCAAGAAATCCAAGAACAAAGG